ATTAATGTCCCTGCTCTCCTGCCGCATACCCCTTGTCTTCCCTTGTTCTTTTCTGCCCTCTTCTCTTCTTTTCCCTCCTATTTGTTTCTTTTACTTGTTTTTTAGTTAGTTCAATTCTATAGGATTTGAAGAATGGTAAAAGCTCTCTCGGCCGGCTTGAAATGACCCAAACTTCTTTGGGTTGAGATCTATATATGCTCTCAAATCGCAAACTTAACTTATTAGTAATGTTTGGTTTTTACTATTATTCACTTAATAGTTAATACTTATCAAAAGCCTAGTTGCTTTCAAGTCAATCTGAAATTGGTGTTTTAATCTATTATGATATGATAATTTATTGATACTTAATTTTTTTTGGTAAAAGAAATTTTTCTTTTTGAATTTTGAGTTATACAATAAAATCAAACAATACTCATACCTCTTTAACTTCCTTTACCCTTATATTATATGATTTAAATTGACAACCTCTTCCCATACTAAGAGTAAAGGTGCAAATAAAGATTCCAACTTTACATTTTTTTTTATTTAAGAATGTTAACTTTATCATTTTCTAAATAAAAATGTCAATTTTCAATTTTTTTATATTTAAGGATATCAACTTTCAACTTTTTTTATTTAAAAATGTTAACTTTGAACTTTTTCTATTTAAGGATTAATTGGTGGTGACGTTGACGTAAGCTAACATATTTTTTAAGTTAAATATTTGAATTGGTCCCTCAACTTTTATTTTTTTAACCAATTCATCCTTTAACTTCAGAAAGTACCAACAACGTTCTTCAACTTCAATTTTCAATTTTGTCTTTTCGTCAGTTAAATGTTGATGTAGCTAATTTTTTCACTAAGTGATTGACTATATTACATTTTCAATATTAGGTGGAAAATCCATCATGTAAAAAATGATTATGTGGATTTTTTTAATTTTAAATAATTTAAAAACTACTTTAATTCTTAATTTTACTTTATTTATATTTAAAAATTAAAACAATTGATATATTTTCCCATTTAATTAGTCCCACCTACCATTTAATAAAATTAAATAAAAGTTAATTAATTCTTCCATGAATTAAGAAATAATTTTATTAGTTGAAAATTGAAGTTGAAGGATATTTTCGATACTTTCCGAAGTTCAAGGATAAATTGGTTAAAAAAAAAGTTGAGTGACCAATTTAGGTATTTAACTTAAAAAAATATGTTAGCTAACGCCAGCATCACTACCAATTAATCTTGAAATATAAAAAGTTGAAAGTTGACATTCTTAAATAGAAAAAAATTGAAAGTTGATATCTTTATTTAAAAAATAACAAAATTAACATCCTTAAATAGAAAAAAGTACAAAATTGAAATCCTTATTTACACATTTACTCCTATATCAGAGAAGGAGACAACTATTAGTCACTTAAATTGTTAGAAGGGTAAGGGAAATTAGTCCATAGTTATGGTAAGAATTTGAACTCATAATTTCCGATTTCCATCAAACAGTAATCGAAGGTTTTTGAAATTCTTCCATAGCAGCTCCCCTAAACTCCTAATATGAAAGGTCACTTGTAAAAAATGGTTTAACTCCAGTTAGTTATTAAATTAAAAGGCTCATTTCATTTGTCCAAAAAAAAAAAAAAGACACTTGTTTTGCTAAATTTTATGGAGAATCAAATACCTTCACGGAAACTTAACAGTTAATGCTCAAATTTGAAGCCAGAAACCAAAGTATTCCCAACTTTCCATGTGAAAATGGCCAAATTAGCTCTGTATTACATTACCAAGAAATGATTACACTTAGCATCTTTCTGCCAGTTCTCCTTACTTTTCCAATATCCTCCATAGGATTCTACATCTAACCAAGTCAATCCGTTCAATCCCAGACATTAAAGTAATACTCTCAATATTCAGTTTTATACATAAATAGAATAATATCGCAGACTCCGGGGAGACACAAATGTTAGGGATATCAGAAGAAACCAAACAACTTTAAAGAGTTCATAATTAACTTCGAAATGCCTTTGAAGAACGTTCCATCTTCTTGGGGGTTGTTACAGAGGCAATTGCTCCATCTCGTTCCCATTTATTTATACTATTTTCCTTTTCCCTTTCTTCTACTTTTTCTTAGTTTAGAATCTCTTCTTTATATTGGTGCAAGAGAAAGCCTAAAGAACCCACAAAGAATCCCATTTTCACAATCCCATTTTCACAATCCCTTTTGCTTTTCCTCAACAATTTTATAATTTAAAAAATAAATTTAATTAAATTTTTTAACACAGAAGGGGAACTTGCACGCTTGGAATGAACAATGATGATAACATTGTTTAGGCATGAAGGCATGCACATCATCATGATGAGTGCACCATGCAGATAAACAACATCATTGGATGTTCTGACGTTTATACTGGATTGGTGATATCTAGAGAGGGTAGACAACATATATCTGTGGGGCTTGTTCTTATGGAGACAAAATTAAAAACCTACACCAATTATTCATGTTCTTTTGTAATGGATTGCCAGTGTACCTGCTTGCTACCAAACAAACAAGGAAGGAAAATGGAGTAACTGCATGCTTGTCCTAGATAGAGGTTTCATAATTGATAACAAATTTTCACTGCACTTAATTAGCTATGAGAATTGACCTTGCAATTAAACTTTGCACCTAGCTTTGATTGGATTTTTTAATTATTTTAACGTATATTATAAATAGAAGAATCTAATATATGCATCTTACCAATTAAATTATAATTTTTTGTGTATTAAAAACCAAAGGAAGAAAATACTACAAGAGAATATTAAAAAAATAGTATTTAAATATTATATTATAAAATTAATTTTTTATTTTAATTGCGCAATAAAAAATAACTATCACTCATACTTGATTTTACTTTACACGTATATTATACTACTTCAATTTAAAATATTTTATTTTTAATAAAAAAATTATTATTAAATTACTTAAATCATTAATGTACCATAAAATTGTTATAATCTTTACAAACGCATAAATAACTTACTAATAAAGTAACTCAAAAGTTTACAATATCATCCTTAATGTCTCTAGGTGATTGATGCGAGAAGCCGAGAACCCAAGAAATCAGCACGACGATCGATTAGCTTCACGGTAGACATGATGCAGTTCCATAAACCTCTGCACCTTCGAATCAGTAGTGGGGATAGTGAGTCTTTCTCGCATCAATGCTACTTCACGGTTTCTAAGTGGCCAACAAAGAATCTGTTTCCACAACAACCCTCTTGCAGTCATTATTCCAATTTAACTGCTAACCTTTTCAAAGGACAAATGATTCCGCGTGAAATTGCATATCCCACACCAAGGTGCCGTAGTTTCTGCAGAACCATCCACATTTAACTTTACATAGCCTTGTACTTTCTTTGCTACTCAAAAAGAATAAAAAAGAAATTGAAATTCCAAAGCAGGCTTCTATGCACGATAAAACAATTTTCTCATATTTAAACCTTTCTTTTTTTATAAGTTTTTGAGGACCAAGTCAGGCCTGTGCCCAAGCTTACATAGGTCTATCATGGTCAAAGTAGTTATACGCTTTATTATTTATTACTTGTTACCCATTTTACTTATCATGAATTTTAATGGTTTTTTCTTGTACAATAATTTTTTTTTTACATAAGTTAATAGTATAATTACTGTATTTTTTATATTAATTGATATTAAAAAATAAAAATTAATATTTAGTTAAATAATTATTTAATTAAAATAATTTACATGATATTGATAATAAATTTGATAACAGTTTTTATATTTTTAATATTAATTAATATAAAAAAGGAAATAGTTGCACCCTTGTCTTGCACAAACACAGGTTAGAAATTTTTTTTTTTGTTAATTTTGCCTAATTTGTTTGTTAATTTTTAGTATTAAATTTTATTTTTCAACTTTGCCCATATTAATTATTGAGCAGTGATACAGAGAACCAAAATTTGGGATCAATAATGTGATATAAATCATATCATTAAATGAGTTAATATATATAATATTATTAATTTTAATAAAAGTTTAAATTATCAATTATTAAATAATTAAGGTTTACTTTTAATATTTTAAATGAGATATCTTATATCATATAATTAATCTCAAATTTTTATCTTATATAATTCATCCCATTTGTCATTATTCTTAATTAATAATTACTTCCTTCTTAGAAGGGATACATTTTAACTTCTCAATTTCCCTGATTAATAAGGTAAAGATGAAATTTTAATAAGTAATAATTAATTTTTTTATTAATCTTTATAATTTATTCTATAATCTCAATAAGCAAATATGTTACAAATAAAATCAACTTGCAGCTAGTTTAAGAATTCGACGATGATGCCAGAAAGAGTAATGTCTACTCCTCCTCCGTTTTATCCTCATCCTCGGCACTAATTACTTGTGTCAACCAACTATTGAAGTGAGATAGGAGTTTATGATTGCTTGTGCCTCTAACCATTTTTAATTGATATAACTTCATATTTAAACTAAATTAATTAGTGCGAATAACCTAAATAATTTAATGGTAATCTTTTTTTTGTTAAGAACAAAAAGTCCTGAATTCAAACTGAATGACATGCGAGTGGAGTGGAGACAAGGGAAGGGAGAAGGTCACCTCTTGTTGTACAGCCAACATAAATAATAATAATAAGGTTTAAGTACCATTTTAGTCCCTCAACTTATCACTTTGGTACCAAAATTGTCCCTCACCTTAAAAAAGTACCAAAATTATCCTTGAACTTTCATTTTTGGTACCAAAATGGTCCTTCCGTCAGTTAAATGGACAAGTGGCAGTTAATTCGACAGCAAATCAATTCTTTTGTTTTTAACTAATGACATGGAAAAAAAAAAGCATAGTTGGCCATTCTTTTTTATGTGTTGTCATTTTTATATAATTTAAAAATAATGACATTTTTTTTCCATCCACGTCAGAAAAAAAGGGACCTCTTCTTCCTCTTTCACTTTCTCTCTCCTTTACCTTTCCTTTTCCCTTACCTCTACAAACCCTAAAATTGGAAGCTTAGCATCTCTCTTGTCACTCCAATCCTAGCAAATCCAATCTTTCTCGTTTTTCATTTTCTTTTTCTATTTTCCAGGAAAATTCTCAGTATCATTATTCTCTATTATCCATTAACATCAACTGCTATTCCACTACCATAATCAGTTTCTTCTTCCTTTGTTCTTCTCCCTCTAGGCGACGCCACCTGCTTGCTCCCTCATTCCCTCGTGCATTTCATGGATGAAATGTATGGAATCCACTCCACTGGAGAGTACACCTCGAACAAGCCGTTGATGTCGTCGCCGGATAGTCTGATCATACCTTCAGATTACCACGCCTTGTTTTGCTCCTCGAGTCAGGTTCTGATGTTTAGATCCAATGAGTTGCTCTCCGCTGCTTCGGCCATATCTGAAGCTACCTCCATCATGCCTGAAATTCAACC